GGCAGACTGGGTGAGGGTGTAATATTTTGTGTGTCTTGAGGTCACCTGCCTCTAAGGTGTTTTAAGAAAATGCTGATGACATGATTTTCTGCTTTCCATTTGAAACAACCATTGAGTCTTAGCGCAATAGCAGATAAGCAGAGTAATATTAATCTCTGCTTTTAGCTCTCATAAGAGCAGCCCAAGTGCTGTTCAAGGTATTGTTCAGAGAGAGATCTCTGAAGTGTTCCCAGGGAGTGATCTCTGAGGTATCATCCAGAGTGTGAAATCCAAGCTTAGTTGTTACTTCATTAATGATCCCTCCAGAAGTTGACAAGATTTCTGTATCTCTATATTATTTACATTTTAATGCTTCATTTAAGGTGATTCAGGTGCTTTCTGAAAACTGCATAAATCAAGCATGTATTTGAACTTAACTGTGATGAAAAACAACTGAAGTGTTTTCATATTTCAGGCTGGGGACACAAGCGTAAGGCACGAGTTTTAAGTCTTGGCTGCTCTCCAGAAAATCTGGCCACAAGTCACTTTGGGTCCTCACTTAGTGTTCTGATGTGCTGTACCGTCACTAGTGGTGCATAAGTATGGGTAGCCACTGGAGACAAACTTCACCAGATCATTCAGCGTTTGGATATACGTTGTATCTGTATGAATTTTGGTGTCGGACTGCAGCAGTAACTTGATGCCAGTCATTATCATGGCCACCTGCTTGCTGCGTATGAAGGTGTAGGTGCCGTATGAGGCTGCTGTAGTGACGTCCCCGCTGTTGTTATGAGTGCAGTTGTGCAAAGTGGAAATGAAGCCCAGCCCACCCCTGTCTTATGAAATAAAACGATTCTTATAAAAACCAGGGGCAGTGATCATGGCAATCATAGGAGGCAGTCATATGATCATGTCAGTCATAGGAGGCAGTAATGTGATCATACCAAAGGAGGCAGTTACACAATCGAGCCAGTCACATGATCACACCACTCTCTGGAGGCAGTCACATGATCACACCACTCTCTGGAGGCAGTCACATGATCATTCCAAACATTGGAAGCAGTCATATGATCGCACCAAACACAGGAGGCAGTTGTGCAATCATGCCATTCAAAGGAGGCAGTCATATGATCACAGGAGGCAGTCACATGATCACACCACTCTCTGGAGGCACTCACATGATCATTGGAAGCAGTCATATGATTGCACCAAACACAAGAGGCAGTTGTGCAATCATGCCATTCAAAGGAGACAGTCATATGACCACAGGAGGCAGTCACATGATCATGCCAATCACAACAGGGAGTCACATGATCGCGCCAAACACAGGAGGCAGTTGTGCAATCATGCCATTCACAGGAGGCAGTCATATGATCACAGGAGGCAGTCACATGATCATGCCAATCACAACAGGCAGTCACATGAGCACACCAATCACAGGAAGTATTCACAAATCAAGCCAGTTCCAGGAGGCAGTGACATGAACATGCTAACCACAGAGCTGACACTGAAAAGACTCCCTGTCAAATATTTATTTAAAGGATTGAGGACACCAACAGTGATTCTACTTTAAACTTTAATTCGCTTACTTTAATTAAAGTGTGGTAGAAAAATGATAAATCAACCTCTCTGATAACACATTGACGTATTGTCCCTGAATCACTGCAAATACATGGTTAACATATGATTAGTATGATTACTTATGCGATCAATTGCGTAACATATTATATATTGTCTACTACAACTACTTTATTAAGCTATAACT